GATTAGGAATGGAAGGTTTTTTTTTTTTTTTTTTTTTCAATTCTTTCCAACGGTTTCAAAACTTTAACTATCTCAGATTTTTACAAATGCAGGTAGAAGTGGGCAAAGATAGCAGAATGTCACCATTCTTTGTGAGGTATAGTCCTACCGCTCCGCTCTGTCCCCGAGGGTCTTCTATCCTTCTTCCTCTGCCCTCAAAGAACATAAACGGGCTTTCTGCTCGCCAATATTTTTAGCGTCTCCATTAGGAACGTTTTTTTTTTATGAATTCAAAAAATAGAATGAGACATTAAAGATGACATACCTTTATTTTTCCATATAGGTACCAAGTACATTGAGACATTTGTCATATCACTTGATAAGCTTCAAAAAGCCCTCCAGGAAAAAATCAGGGCTTTGCATATGGAAGAAGCGTTGAACGGCTTGTTTCACTTCAGTATTGCTTCCAAAGCGCCTTCCCCCGAGATTTTTCTTCAAAGCCTTAAACAGATGGAAGTCACTTGGTGCGAGATCAGGACTGTATGGCGGATGGTGAAGGCGCTCCCAACCAAGAGTTGCAATATGGTTTTGCGTTGCCGTCGCCGAATGTGGTCTGGCATTGTCATCCAACAGCAGAACGCCAGATGTGAGAAGGCCGGGCCGCTTTTTCCGAATTGCCTCTTTCAATTTCGACAGGGTGTCACAGTAGCACGTAGCATTGATGGTTCCAACCTCCAAAAAGTCCAGCAACAAAACTCCTTGGGCGTCCCAGAAAACTGTGAGGAGCACTTTACCTGCAGAGGGAGTTGTCTTGAACTTCTTTCGGACAGATGATGACGGATGTTTCCACTCCATAGATGCAGCCTTCGATTCTGGCGTGAAATGGTGGACACACGTTTCATCCCCCATCACAATCCGAAACAGAAAGTCATCGCCATCTTCATGGTAACGCACGAGATGTTCCAGGCTGACCCCCATGCGTTGTTCCTTGTGTGTCGAGGTCAATTGTCGGGGCACCCATCGTGCTGACACTTTTCTGTATCGAAGAATGTCGTGGATGATATTTTGAGCTCGTTCATGTGAGATTCGAAGTTCTTCCGCTACTTCATCGATGGTGATACGCCGGTTCGCTCTAATCATGTCATCCATCTTCCTGACATTTGCATCTGTAGTGGCCGTGCGCGTCCGTCCAGCTCTTGGTATATCCTCCACTTGCTGACGTCCATCACTGAATATGCGACACCATCTCCGCACTATTTGCTTCAACATCACACCTGGCCCATAGACTTCCACGAGGTGGTTATGAATTTCTGTTCCTGATACTTCACGTGCCCATTCATAGCGGATAACCGCTCTCACTTCTTCTTTGACCACGAATTCAAAACGCACCTTCTCTCCATACCTACCGGGGCTCAAATGAGAGGCTGGTCTTCGCTTTGCGCAGGCACTGCAACAGCGCCATCTGCTTGATTTGCAGCGACCTCTACCCAATGGTGTATCGGTGACTTGCGCGTTTTCCTGCTGTGTCGCCTTTCCCCCATACCCGTTCAACGCTTCTTCCATATGCAAAGCGTGAATTTTTCTTGGAGGACTTTTTGAAGCTTATCAAGCGATATGACAAATGTCTCAACATACTTGTACGAGAATAATAAAATAAAGGTGAGTCATATCTTTAATGTCTCATTCTATTTTTTGACTTTCATACACAACTCTGACCACAGTCGACAGGGAAAACTTATTTTTCAGCTTACCTACGTACTTAATTTAAAAATCATTATTCAATAATACTTAATTAAAAAAAAGTTTTATACAAATGCTTATAAAAATTACAGAAAAATTATTGCCAGAATTCCAACAAATGATAAAAGTTACATGTAAAATATTCAATAATGCAATTTTAGATACAAAGCTCTAATTTTAATATCTTTAGAGAACTTTAACTAAATTTGCTGATGCTTGCAATTTAAGAGAACATAAACATACATGTTATTCTAAATCAGTATATATATATGACTATATATATATATATAGCCACAAGAAAATACTGAATGCTTGGGAAGATTCAGCAGAGATGCGTTAAAGACAATAAAACACAAACATCTTAGAAACAGGTTTTTCTTGGAAAATAAAAAAAAAAAATAACATAGCCCCAGAGCAATTTACATATTCAGAAAGTTCCTACATTCTTGCAAGTACAGAGAAAATATATATGCTAATAATATTAGTAGATACTGTTATTCGCTATAATAAATGATTTAAATGTTTTCTGGCTGACCAGTGGCTGAGAGGTAAAGTCGCTGAATACTGATAGTTTGGTTCGAGGTTCAAATCCCAGCAAATCGTCTGGCTGCATGGACGTTTTCATGGATTTCCCCATGTTTAATGTGTATACGAGGCAGTTTCTCTTAGAAAATACTCCACAAAGGTATCCCTCCCCTTAGGCAGACGGCCCTCAAGTGCTTTGCCATAACCATATAAAGCTAAACCTACTTAAATATTTGCTGCACAGCACATGTTAAAACTGGATATGAAGAATCATATTAGTTATTAAAAGACATCCAAGGGGGACTAATTTTAGAAAATCCACAAGAATTTTCTTTCTTAATGTAACATCATAAATAATTACATGAAACTTAGATTTTTTTTTTTTCCCCGGAGGAAAGAACAAATACAGGGGGGGAAGCAAAAGACTACCTATCTTATGAAATTTTAATCTAATTTCTTAAAAAAGGTAATTACTAAAGCATAAAGCAGCCTATTTTAAATAACAATCTAACGTTAAAAAAAAAAAAAAAAAAAGCAATAACACTTCAAGCACTTCTTGAAAATAGATAAAACAGAAATTTTATATATTCACATATACCAGGGTTGCCACTCAAACAGGAGAATGAAATTCCCTGACTTTTTCCCAAGTTTTCTCCATGTGTGTTTTAAGAAAATTTCAGTCTGTCCACACAGTGTGCGTAGGCTGCCCTGAGAGGTAAATTTATTATGGTTGTACTTGAAAACACAAAAATTTGCCAATTACATATGACTTATCCCCCATAGCATATATTTTTATTATAACTATAATAGGAGTTGTTTCCTCCACTGAAGATTGAGATTAGAATATGCCCAATCTGGATTTAAAAATGTCTCTTTTTGCAGGCAATTTGAAGCTTAAAAAAAAAGAAATCTATTTAATGATATTTTAAAATAAATTCATGTATTTTATATTTATTTAGCAGCATGCATAAAGCAAAAAATATGTGCATTAAATTTCATCATGTTCAGAAGTATGCCAGAGAAAATTGCCTGGAACTGGAAAGTATTATGAACTAATAATAAATAAAATTAGGAGGAAGAAGCCACATTAAATGATACGAATAACATTAAAATAAATTACTTAAAGATTAAAAACTGAATTATAATAATCAACGACATTTTGGTGAATATAATTTTATTAAATGGTTAGCTTAGATCAGTGGTCAGCAAACTTATTACACAAAGAGCCAAATATGAACGTTACAAAAATTTTTTAAAAAATTGGGAGCCAAATCTGCTTGTTTAGTAAACTTTTATTACACTAAATAAAACTAAATTTAAAACTTAATAAATATTTATTAATGCGAACAATGTGCTTGCATCTCCTTGGAAAGTTTGAGTAAGTCAGGTTTGTATGTTGTTGTTTTTAATTTTAGACATGATTCCAAGTTCTCATCAATAAGACGACTTTTCAGTTTACTCTTGAAAATGTTCATGCTTGAAAAAGATTGTTCGCATATATATGTAGAACCGAAAAGGGAAAGAACAGCAAACTCGAGCTTTTTCAGCTGATCGTAAGAGTCAGGAATACTATAACATTTTAATTACCTATATATCTTTTTACTCAAACAAAAAATTATATATGTTCTCGATTTAGAGAAGATTTTAATTTATCAAAATAAGATGTAATTTTTTCCTCACCAAGTTTTTTTTTTAAATGAAAATATTATTGCGCATTCCGTGGATATTTGTACCAGAGCCGCACTTAGGGAGCCAAAGACCCACATGCGGCTCTAGAGCCGCACTTTGCCGACCACTGGCCTAGATGACTGATTATTGGGGGGGGGGCTCATTATTTTACTACAAAATGGCAAATAAGGCATTTATTAAAAAGGGGAAAAAATTAAGATTTTGTAAAATTCTAGTATACAGGCACAATTTTGAAAATTATCGCCTGCACCAAAATGACCTGCTTAATGCTCATCATAATGTGGCCAAATCCCATGTGTATCATATATTAGGATTAAACCAATAATTTTGTTTAATACAAGAATGGGAAGGTATTTTCTTTAGCTCAACATGCACTGCACATGCGAATCTCTCTATTCTAGAGGTTACTGGAAACCAAAGTTGCTGGAAACTTGCTTTTGCCTTTCTGGAAAAACAATTTGATTGGAGCTGCAAAAATTAGCTCTATGCTTGGCTGCTCAAATGACTCTCACATGCTATATAATTTGCCAAGAAAGTGATTGCTTCCAATACTGGCGTAAAAATCGCTTTTTTGGGGGATCGCAGCATAAAATTTCCCGAGTTTTTTAGATTTTGACTAAAATATTTAAACTCCCTGATTTTCCCCTGATTTTTAATAAATTTTTGAATTCTCTGACTTTTTCCGGTTTTCCAGGTAACGTGGCAATCCTGATATACTTTGAACAAAGTAAGCAATTTAGTTATGCATTTTCACTGACTCTCCCATTTCTCAGAAATGTTAGCTCTTTTCAAAAAGTACAAATCAGGCAGAAGTAGTTTGTGGAATCATAACTAATCATTACTCTTGTTTGCTGTTTGCATGATTTTTGCTAACAATGCTACTGATCACCTTTCAGATTTGGATTAATGAGCTATTTAGTTAAGAATTTATTAATTAATGACTTCAATTATCTTAAAAGAGAAAGAAAACAGGCTTTCAGAATACTGACATACTTTATAACATAGATAATTAGCAAACATATTAGCCATACTTCAATATATATTTATATATGTGTATATCAACTTACCATACACTGTAAGATTAAATGACTTTTTATCAAAGCCAGCAGTATTCTTAGCAGTGCATGTATAAATGCCAGCATCCTTCTCTTGAATGAAAGGTATATGAAGCACTTCATTCTGAATATAATGAACTAGAAATAAATAACACAGAGAAATATTAAAGAAACTGGCATTATTAATAAGAAGATTATTTCCGTCTGCATCAAATCCATATTCATTATTTCAGTAAAAATTGACTGGCAATTTTTGAAAAACCACTTATGCAGATTAAGATAGAGAGCCTTAAAAGTTTGCATTCAGGAACATGAAGAATGTGTTAGAAAAAAAAGACACACAGAAGTTCTCTGTTACCCAGCATTGTTGGTCAGAAAATCACACTTTCAATTTTTCTGCAGCCAAAATTATTTAGAAAACATCTTCCATTGGTGAAATGGATTTTCTGGAGGTGTTTCACATTCAAAAAAATCTTTCTCTTCTAGTTAATGACCCTAATTCAAATCCATCTTTGCCTTTAGCCTTTAAGGAAATTATGTTTTAGTTCTCTTTTCATCAATAGATGGCACTAGTAGCTTGACTCCTGTCCAGCCATTCTTATCTTATCTAATCACTATATTTTATCTCGTTCATTTGTGCTTTGGCAGCTGAGGATGATGGTTCGGCAAAACCATCGAAACTAGTCCTGTAAAACTTTGCATACATAACGCGGCAAAATACTGATTTAGTTTTAATAATAAAAATTCATTTTTACAATTTCCCAACAAAGTCACACCAAAAAACTACAAATCCTTTACAAGTATTACAGAAAGATGATTCATTAAATCTGTAAAGATGGTTCATTGTATTACAGTAGAAGTCCAGAAATCCACAAAGCTTGGGATCAGAGGATTTTAGGATTTTGCGGATTTAAGGACAGAAAAGATAAATCATAATATTCAGACTAAAAGTGCAAAATAAATAAGGTGTATTAGATACATTTAATTAAATTATTATATACATTATTGCAATAATTTATTATATGCATTAAATTATTATTACATATATAAATTGATTATATTATTCATGTACACAGCATCAAGGTTTGCTGATTTCGCCTCATATGCAAAGATTTCCGGTTTCGGATTCCAGTGTTAGAATCACTGTTGCTGTAAAATTTCAACAGCTTTTCTTTAATTTTCCGTACATCACACACAATCATGTCGCAATTCCATATGATTCTGCAATAAACCGAGGAGTAGCCTGCCTCCATCTTTTGTAAAATTTTGCACTTTTTGCATTACCGTCAGTCAGTGCAATGTGTTTACGTTTTTCAACATTGCAAGCAGTATGAGTGCGTTTCTTATCTGTAATTGTATTAAAAAGGGCTGAAATTAAAAATATTCTTAATTTATCCACAAAATATCCAGATAGAAACAAAGGCAGCACCAAATAATCTCGTAAAATAACACAGAAAATACAACGTGAATCGTGAACTTGAAGGAAGAGTTGAGTGAAATGTCTGCTTTTTTACCTCGATGCAAGAAATCATGATGTCAATAATTTGGTATTTCTGTTATGGCTCATTATTATTCGGTAAGTATTTTTTCTTTGACATTTCACACTCAATGTTGCGGTTTCCGGAATGTATAAACTGAATGTTTATATTTTGAGATGCAACGCGGATTTCAGGTTGGTGGATTTTCGGTATTTGATGGTATTTAATTCTGAATATTCTGAAAATTTGCAAATATAATGTTGATTTTTGTTGTTTGACATCTAAATTAATCACTTATGCAGATTAATATTAACTTAATAATCATTACAAGCTGATAGCAGATTTAAAATTAATAATAAACATTCTGTAGAGGCTTTGGAAACAGGAAATAAATTTTATCTGATGGATGGTGGTTAAATGAAATTTCTAAGCACATGACTATAACAGCTAATGTAAAAATTTTTAAAAACTAAGTATGGCTCAAAATCATTAAAAATAGATGAAAAATCAAAATTTGCTATCATTACAAAAATGGCAATATTTATTTGCCCATATTACTCACCTAAATCACTTTCTGGCTCAGTCCAAATAATTTCAGGTATGGGATATCCAGAAGCATTACATACAATATCTATTTTATCCCCAATGGTAGCGAAAATATCTGGAGCTGATGAATAAACAGAGCTAATTTTTGGCTCTTCTGCAAATAATAAGAATAAACATTAAAAGTGATTCTTGGGGTAAAAAAAAAAGGTTTTATTAGAACAAAAATTAAATCTTTTCCACTATCGTAGGTCACTCTGAAATTTTTTAGATATGCACAGATGATAAGTTGCAGGAAAAAAATGATGGTTAGATTTGAAAATAAGAACAATTTTAGCCCAGCAGATGATTTTTTTTATTTGCCAATTGCAAGTAGTTTAGTGTACAATAAATTTCAGGCAGAAGGACATGGTTTTTGAGATGAGAACATTATTGTACTATGATTTTAAAGTGGCATTAAACCAAGAAGAATGCATTCAACATCTACAGTTAGTATTTGGAAATGAAGATTCATCTCCTGCTACTGTATTTAGATTGTTTGCAGAATTTCACAGAATCACAACTCTCTTCAGGATGAACACACAGGAAGGCTGTTGTCAGCAGCAATCCTAAATAATATGTCTGCATGCAGAAAATGTTAACTAATAATAATCGCTACACATACCAACTGATACAGAAGGAACTTAACATTGAACCTGCTGCCACACATAAAATTATTCGTGAAGAATTGCATATGAATATTGGTGATGACACATACATGCCATTTTTTGAAGTTCCATACGTCAAGAAAGAAAAGTGTGGGTCTTTGAAGATGATCCCATGCCCACAATAGTGAAAAACAACATGCCATAAAAACATAACACACACCTTTTTCTTCAGAAATACAAGACTGGTCAAATTCATCAAAATGGAAGCACAGAAGACAGTCACAGCTAACTGGTACATCTCTAAGTGTCTTTCAAAAATTCTTCATGAAACAAATATTACAGGACTCATGCTCTGCCATGACAATTCCTCTTCTTATTCAGCAAGACTGAGAGTTGAGTTTCTTGAACAAAAACAAATCAATGTGATAGAACATCTACCCTATTCACCTGATCTAGCTATGCTTGACTTTTGGCTATTTTTTAATTTAAAAAGAACTTATGTAGATGTCATTTTCATTCTGAAGATGAAATTGATGAGGCTATAAATACTTTTTTTCCATTGATTCCATGAAATGAATGATCTGAGGCATTTAATCTTTGGAAAATTCGCCTACAGAAGTGCACTGATGCTGGAGCAGATTACTTTGAACACTGATAAAATTTTGCAAGTATAACTTTAAAAACCTATGTGTAGCTAAAAAATTTCAGAGTGACGCTCATAGAAAAACACTGATCAAACAATTTTCTCTAGATAGATTATGTGCCAAATGAATATCTCCAGCAAAACATTACACTTTCATCATCATGTCATTTTTATCATAGCGAAATTTGTTTAAACATATGAAAAGTACTAGCTCTTAAAGTTAATTTCAATAAACAAAGAATGATGTAAAATGACATACATTAATCACTTTTTATTGATAAAACTTATTTCTGAAATAAGAACACTGTTATAGCTTTTTTTGACACTATTTCTTTCGAAAGCAAAAATACTATTTGTTACAGTACAGCTTAAGAACAAAATATTTAATTTAACTACAATTAGCAGGCAATGTTGAAACACGTATCTTTAGCTAGAAAATTGTCTGATGTATGTTGTTATACATTCAAAAATCCCATAAATTATAATTATAAAAAAATAAAGTTTGAATTAAAAAGTAATTATGACACAATTCAAGAATTTTATTCTAATTGTAGAGTAAAAGAGAAGTGGAAAATACCATGAATGGTTACTGTTCTTTTGACTTCAGAACGCCCAGCCAAGTTTTCACCAATGCAAGAGTATGTTCCTTCATCAGAAAGAGATGTTTTAAATATAGTAAAATTGCCATTCTTGACAAAAAGGGATTCTGAAGACTGCAGTATTATACCATCTTTCTTCCAGTATGCTTTAGGAGGAGGATGGCCAAATGTTTCACATGCAAGTGATAATGGATGTCCAGCTATGGCAACAATAGTAGCAGGAGCTTTAATATCTGCATGTGGTGGCACTGAAAAGAATTTGAATCGATGAATGATAATAATATTTTTAAAAATATTATGCTATAAAAATAAAAGGTATTATTTAAAAAAATTACTCATTCTAGTTAAGTTCCAAGTATTAATTATTTAAAAGTGACCATCGATATTTACAATCACCTGTTATTAACTCATAATAATAACAATTATATTACACCAGTAATAATAGTAATAAAGTTCAAATTTACCCTGAACATTTAAAATCATTTCAGACCGAGCATGTCCAACTTCATTCTCAGCTTCACAAACATATAACCCTTCATCAGCATAGTTTGCTCTGATTTGTAAGCTACCATTGTACATAATATACTTTTCTAAATTCTCCTCCTCACCATCTGGTTTCAGTCTTTTCCATCTTATGAAAGCTGGAGGTTTGGCATAAACATTGCAGTTCAATGTTGCAATATTACCTTCAGTGACATTATAAGATGAAACTGGATGAATGATTCTTGGGGGAACTAAGACCAAAATATACAGAAAAGAAAAAATATATATATATATACACACACACACACAAAAAAAAAAAAAAAAAATGCACATAAGTATGCACAATAAATAACAAAAAAAAATTAAATAATTTCTTTTAACATTCATGATCAACATGACCACCTTTAACTTGCCATTAATTTTGTTAGCACTTTATTACTGCATTTAAAAAAAAATATTTTGCTCTTTGATTTCATTTAATAATCATACAATCATTATACAGAATGGAAGTTATGACAACAAAGAATAAAGTAAAGTAATTATACAAATTTAGCTACTTAATGCTAGCTATACATAGGTATTCATGAGCAGACCTACTGATTTTACTTTCTAGTTTATGTCCATTCAGTTTACCATACAACTACATATAATTTAGGCATACCAACATCACATGCAGTTTCAAATGCACATACAATATGCTTCTCCATAAACTTAGTGCATCAGGTGCCACTTAATGTTTTAGAACAATTATTGTCAGCAGCAATCCAGATAATACCTATGCTTATGTTTGAAGAAAAGATGAAATCAATGTGTACATTTTAGCAAACTACCATCTGATATTGAAAAAAAGTTGTAAAACAAAAGTCAGAAAATAGTTAATACCATTTACCATTTATAGCACATGGGATGAGAGATGTGGAAGCATTACTGAAGCAATGGAACTTGAAGTCCTAATGGAACAAAAGCGCCTATTTATCAATTTTTTGTTTTCAAGGACTATTTTGGAAAACGAGAATTTACGTGGGGTTCCATGCTTGATTCAACTAGCAGTAGGAACATAGCTTTCTCTCCATGATCCTCCAAATAAATTTAAATTTGACTATGTGAATGCATTTTCTAACAAATGTGAATAATAAATTCTTTACCCACATTTTCAATCATATTCCAACATTCACCAGCTCCATCAATACAGTACATATTCATCCACTGCTCAATGAATAATAGTCTAGACATTAACAAAATAGGCATATGTGATCTCTTCTAGTATATAGGATACCACAATCTTAAAAAAAAAAAAAAAAAAAAAAACCTTCAATAAGAAATTTAACAAAATAACGCAATCTTTAAATTGTATCAATCTTTGATACAAGAAAAAATTTTGGAGGTGCATAAGGACCTCATCACCTCCCAATGTATGCCACTGATATAATATACCTAAGTTTTTAATGGTCATGAGTTGTGTTATTTTGCCCTTTACCTTTAAGTTCCTTTCCCTTCCCATATTGCTGTATTTGTGAAAAATAATTTCTAATTTATTTAATGAAAAAAATTCTACATATAATCAAGATAAATGATATACCTAGGCAAATATAACTGAAGATATGTAGTTTAAATCTGCACACTTCAGAAGTCAACTGTACCTTTCAAAATATATTTTATCCTCTCATTTAATGACAGTAAATTTTAGAAAAGCAACATGAATGGCTATAAGAAATACCACAATTAAGAAGATTAAAACAAAGTTATATTAATGAAAATACTCCTTTCAGTTGGCGAGTGAGAAACCCTTACGAGTAGTCTTGACGAACATACCAAAATTAGTGACGGAGAACACCATCAGACTGACCTGACCAGAAGAAAATTTCCTGTTATAAAAGTCAAGCAGATATTAAGAAGCAAAGAGAATAACAATGGAAAAATGCCGATCTTCATAGTAGATCTAAAGAAGAATGCAACTGGCTACGCGATACATCAGCTTGATAACATGTTTAGTGGTAACATAAAGGTAGAAAAATTCTTGCCGCGGAAAAGACCTCTCCAGTGCTTTAGATGCAAGGAGTTTGGGCATTCCCAACATCTCTGTTCGAACCCAGAAAAATGCTGCAAGTGTGGGCAAAATCATAGTAACAAATGCCCACTAAAAGATTAAGACAAACCTACCTGACTATTTTGTAAAGAATCCCTCGTCAGCTCATATCGAGGATGTTCTGAGTATAAAAGAAAATTTGAGAAGTAGCAGCCGGTGCAAAAAACGAAGACAAAAATTCCCAATCCCGAAGATTTCCTATAACTGACCCAAGCTGCGTTCACACCAACATAGTCATGCATTTGCGCGTAAAGCGTTAACCAATCAGAAGTGAGTTCAGAGGCCGCATTTGCCGGATGACTGGAGACTGCGTGTGTTGACTTAACTTCAACTTTTTGACACGTCAGTTTCAGGCATCTTGTTTCAAACGTCCAGTTTATACCATGGTTTTTAAATGATTGCACTTTCAAAAATTCTTTCTTCTTGATGAAAAAAAAAAGTCATATGGATATTAATAAAAATTTCAGATAACAATAAAAATGCATATGCTAATAGAATAAAAATAGCTTTATAAATTATTTAAAGGAAAATTATCAAGTTTATTAGCAGTAATAAACTTTAATAATCAACCATAAATGATATATGGGTGATAATTATTACAGAATAATCTAAAGCAATAGATTGTTGTGAGAAAATAGTGATGTATTTCGAAATACCAGATTTTGAATTTTTCTGAAAATATATCTACATAAATTTAAGGTTGTTCTTGTGGCCCAGTGGATAAAATGTTGGCTTCTTGAGTTAAAGATTTTGAATTCAAGCATCACCAGGAGTGGTGTTCTAATGGAGTTGGTATTTAAAAAAAAATATTTACAGAAAATTATTATCGCTAGTTTCAGAGTAGTCCAGATGCTTCTTCAGTTTCTTGAACGTGAAATGTGAAAACGATGTTTACCCGCAAGCTACCTTAGCGCAGAGGTAGCACGCCCAAGAAGTAATTTCAGCTTTTGCTAGGGACTTGTATTGCGAGTTCGGACCTTGCTTTTTCCTACCTTTGATGATGGTACGAATACACTTTTTTTTTCTTTCTTTAAATGTACCGAGACTTTTTAGGGGGGGAAGGGCACAAGAAGTTCACATTTATTTTAAATCTCATTCATCATTCATATAAATCTAATTTTCACTCGGCATTGTGTGCATTATCCTTCTTTTGACAATGAGCCTTTGGTATAATTCCTAAGAAGAAGATCTGATTCTATTTTGGCTGACACGAGACTAGCAAAAGCGATACTGGTATTAGTATAAAGTTGCTGTTTCATCTAATTAAAAAATTTAGTGATTTCTGAATTTCAAACGAGTGGTGTCGAGTAAACCATTTGTTTAAAAAATTAAGAAATATGTTATTTATACAGAAAAGAAGCTCGCTAGTATGTAGCTGATTTTATGGAATACTTCTATGCATTTTTATGGCTTCATATTTGTTTTTCTTAACATACATGACCACTTTTCAACAGGTTTAATCTTGATGATAATTTTTCATTAATTTAAAGAACTTTTGCATGAGCATTAGCAAATTTGCTAATTGCACAATTCAATTTTTAATGCAGAAAAAGAAGTATTATATAAAATGCAGTTACTTCAGTGAGTTTTAGATAAAAGTGACGTTATAAAAAAAAACCTTTAAATAGTGGCTGTTCATTACTACATATTATTACGAAATGTACAGGCCCAGTAGGATGGCTTCCCTGCAAAGCAGGTTTAGGGTTGCCACATTTGGCGAGAAATCACCCATTTGGCGACAAAATTGGCAATATACTATGGACGGATGGAGAACCTTCTGGAACGAATTCGTACCGGTTTAACCTAGAATGTTCTCGAACACAAGTTGAAAGCTATATAAACTCTGCTGGTCCACAGTCAGTTTGTGTGGCTCACATAGAGTGTGATGGAGTTGGTATCGAGTTGGTGTCTCATCTAGCGAGTCACTCCCTGCGGAGTCGATCGAGTTGACGGCCGGGCAGCGAGTGCCGAGTGGGTCGTTGAGTGCACCGAAGGAGTCTGCTAGTGTATCGCGGTTAGTGCATCATCGAGACAGCGTGTCGAGCTCTGGAAATGACTGAACCGAAGAGTCGGGAGCTGTGCTCATGTGTTGTCAAGTGCATCGCGAGTTGTAGCGTGGAGAGTCTCGAGAGTATGTGGAGTTCCAAGAACGACCAAGCAGAGTCAGAAGCTATACTCCGGAAGCAGAGTCGGGTGCTTTGCAGGAAGTTGTCTCCACCATGATAGCCTGATAACCTGAAGGCTGTCTCACTGATTGTGTCAGTGTGTTTAAAGTAGTTCATTGATGACTGTAAAACATGTTTTGGAGCTGTCCTGACAATACTGGCTAATAAAGTGTGTTTCGATACTTCATAAAGTGTCATCATTATTCACTCCAAATCTACAAACCCCATGCGAACGTGGAGGAAGAAAATAACGTAACAACTGGTGTCAAGAAGAGAAAATGCAACAATATTAATGACTAATTGAAGTAATTACTAATACATTTAAGGTAAAAAATATGTACATAAGGCACAAACTAAATTTTTTTTTAATTGCTGTTGCTTATTAACTTAATAATTGCTTTTTAAGTGTGACATTTAATTTAGTAATGCTGTAAATCCTGCATATATTTAAACAAAATATACTTTTTTACTACATTATTTAAACCAATTAACGGAGAGTTTATTTAAGGAAGCATTTAAGGAAAGTTCAAACATCATGCAAAAACATTTATGGTATTCTACCTGATGAAAAATTTACTCACCAAAATAGAATCATGCAGTTAGGATATTTTAATTATCATTCAACAAAATTCATACATAATTTAAATTAGATATATACAGCGTTTGATATATACAACGATCCTTTTCTGGGATATCCTATTCCTATCATCAAAACAATATTTTCTGCGATATTCTGACAAAAAATAGTGTTCTGCTTTTGAACAAATAGTTCAACGAGCGCTAGAATTCATCAAATTGATGAGGTGTCATGCGAAAGTAATTTTTAAAAAATTCATTTCGTTCAAGCGCATTTCTTCAATTAAATTATTTGCATCTCCTTACTGCAGTCATCTCTCACATATTAATATAAGCCACTGCATTCTGCTTCTCTTACACAAAGCAAGAAGTAAGATAAGTTTTAATCAAGCAGAAATTAAATACAGTCAAAAGTCATTAATCCGGACTCTTCAGGACTTCAGCGATTCCGGATTATAGATCATCAGTTTAAATCTGGTAAGATGGCATGCAGAAATTATAAAATTAAAAATATGAAACCGTAATTTATGAAATAAAGAACAATTATGTTCTAAAGGGTATCAAAATTTACAAAAAAAAAAGCTTAATATTTATTTGTTTACTTTATTAAACATTTCTTTCAATGTAAATTGCTTCGTTTAATGTGATAATACTTTCTCTTTAATTCTATAAACAGACATAATTTCTTGTTCAGTTACAAAGTTCCACTGGTCAAGTCCTATAATTGCTGTGTCGAGAATACCGACTAATTTGTCAATCGAAATTTTTTCGTTTTCAATAACCTCCGTGTCACTTTCTTCACTATCGGAAGCGAATTATAATGACAAGGAATTTGATTTAAATCATATCAAAGACGGAGTACATCGAGATGAAATACCACATTTAGTAAGGAATTATAAGCCAAGTAAAATAAAAACATCTGCCCTGAAGATAAGGATAGTGCTGACAGATCAACTTCCAATTCATTGCGCGCCGCGGCGTTTCCCCCCCTCCTCGCTGCAGAGCAGCATGAAATTGATAAACAGATTTCGGAATGGTTAGAGAAACAAATCACCTCTCTGTCACTTTCTTCATGCCTTTATCCATTTTTTGCAGCAATTCCACTTTTTGTTTAATGGACTTCAAAACATACTTTCACTTTGTAGATCCTTTACATATTAGTAAATATATATCGGAAATTCTATTTGACATAATCTAAAGTTCAAGCTTACTTTTATAAAATTGCTCTAACAGTCTGCAAAAAATAATAAGCCGGATCCAATTCGAAGATTAAGGAACAACGGAATCTGCAACATTAACTGAATTAGATAATTTTAGCTTGGCTTATACCATCCGTTATACATTAAACGTGCAAGTGTAAACGTATTATGCGCATGCGCACATGCATATTCGCAGCCATTAAGGTCTTAAGCGAATGTGTCGATGCGATGCATGCGCAGAAAGTTTGTAGCTTTGAGGTCCGGATTATACATCATTCCGGGATTATGGGTGTCCGAATTAATGACTTTTGACTGTACAATTTAATTTTAAAATGTAATCATAAAAGGTCAATATTATACAATATATGTTATATAAAGCATATTATATAATTACATAAAGCATATTATATAAAGAACTGAAATGACTAGTTTTCAAAAGGTAATAACAAGATCCTATGAAATAGGGCAGCAGTTACACCTTTGAATACTGTCATCTGATTAACAAAACATGTCTGAGAATAAGGAAAATGTCATAGATTAAATGTATCTATAACATGCTTATTTGAATGCTTAAATTCTAGTGCATAACAGTGATCAATCATGCTAATAATTATACTTATGTGAGGTTTATCTATTTATTTTTAACTAATAGTTAATCTTAAGTTTTACTACTTTCCTATTATTATCTTTTCACCTACACTTTTCATGCCAGAATGTAAATGAGATACCAAGCATTTATTCAGATTAAATTTGGAAGTTATTATTTTTGTTTAATTATTTTTGGAAGTTAGTTTTAGAGGATATCTGCTTATTCCAGGTCCCATTGTGTTGTGATTATTAGTTTTTTGATTCTGTGACACTGAGTGCTTCTAGCCATTTGGCTTTGTCTCGCTGGTTTTCTACAAACCAGAGTTTTGCCTGCATGTTAAATTATCCTGTCAGGTATTGGGCTAATCTACCGCATTCTGAATTTGTTCAACGTTATGTATTTAAGCCAGAAATGCTTGGCTTGTATAAACCCAAGTTGGGTAGTTGTTAATTTTGTGTTAAAATAAAAGGGCCTTGTACACCTTTCTTCTGACTTTTGTTTTGTTTCAAAAGGCTAGAAGACAATTCTTAAATAGTTTTTTTAAAGTCTATAGTGTATGCTCCCTAAAGCTGCTATCATACATCAGTTGTTTCAGAAGAACAACTGTTTGGAACAATTTTTCTACTTTGTCACAACAGCCAATTACCACAGATCACTTTGGGGTTAAAATGTAAAGGGGAAACTGGTTCTTCATTACAAACAAGCTGATAGCTGATTGGTTGAAAACCTGCAATTTTTTTTGAAGGGAAGGAAAAAAATTGCGTGTCTTTATTTCGATAGAAAACCAGACAGAAAAACTGTCCTAAACAGCTGTTCGTATGAAACAAATGCATGCATGATATGGGCCTAAGAGGACCAGACTTTATATTTAAAACAACAAAAGCATATAGAAATATAATTAAATACAGGAGGAAAAGATAGATGAAGAATTTCCTAGTGACAGGAGAGAAGTTTCAGTTCAATTGTGCTGGAGTTGTTATGCAAAACAAAGTTGAATCTAATAGTTGCTATGGAACTACAGACTGGACTCAAACTTCTAAATGGAGGAAGAAAGAAGAATGTCATAACTTGATGGTGGAAATCCTAAGAAGAAGGAAGAAGGAAAAATTAATAGCAAATCTACTTACCAAAATTTAAAAACTCGATTTCTCTTAATAATTAAGGATTCATATGATACGTATGCTATTTTATTACTGACTGTCTGATTTTCCAAGCAACATGGAATCCCCTTTATAACCTAAGATTTTTAGTGAGATGCTTGGATCTCGTCTGAAGAATACATAAACAATACTCTTTCAGTTTGAATTAATGAATGCTTCTTTGACCACTATTTAAGGTGGATTTCACATTTACAATTGCCTTCATGTATATATAGAAATGCCAAAAATGCAACTAAAATGCTGGGACTAATTTCAGTATTTTATGGTTCCTCTTGGGAAATACAATAATTCTGATTGAGTGACGGCAGCTATCTCCCTGCTAAATGATAAAATTACGATTAGCCTTGATCGTAACATCATATTTATTGCAGATTCTCAGGCTGACATTATGCCTTTACCACTCCTGGTTGTAACACTGAAACTCGGATTCTTCTTGTAAAATGAAATCTAATCAACTTGGAATGTCTAAAGAAACTAATTTTCAGTTAATTCTGAGCCAATGTGATATTACTAGAAATGAACACTTTATATAATAAAGCTGAGAATACATCTTAAATATTTTAACCTGATCCATCTACTGTCAAACATCAAGCAGACTATTTAATTTTAAATTCAGATTATTTCCTCTAAAATCAAAAACAGACAATCAACATATAAGAGTTCAGTTACAGATAAGAAACAGGATGTATTACTAGACAAAATAAATAAATACATCATTAGTTCCATGCTTAGGCAGGCGGGCTTTGCTTGTTTTAGACTAATAGGAATGTGCACATATACAGCAATTTTTTTTTTTTTTTTTTAATCAGCATCTAAATATTATGAAATAAGTACCTTTAACAATAAGTTTCATAGATTGGTCAGAAGTTCCAACTATATTTGTAGCAGAGCAAATGTACTCTCCTTCTTGAAAGCTTCTGACATTTTTTATTTTTAAACTACCATCATTTTCAATATAAATTTCATCATTTGGTATTAACTGAATGTTGTCCTTGTACCACAATATAGCTGGCTTCGGATCACCCTTCACATTACAAGACAAAGTTATATCTGATCCTTCTGTAACAACAAATTCTTGGTTAGTTGGAAATATCTCTGGATGATCTGGAAAGAAAGGGAAAAAAAAATGTTAAATCAATTAAACAAAAAATAATGTTTTTAAGTTAGAATTATGAAATATATTTTATGCCATGCAACTAAGATTCTGCAAGAATTTAATTATAAACTCTAAGAATATTTACTAAATAAACCTATGAGAGACAATTATGCCTCAATTCATATTAAAAAGTAATATTTTTATGGATCAACAATTACAGAGACACAGGCTAGGAATGACAGCAATTTCATAATAAAATTTCTTTTCCTCCATGAATGAACTCTTAAGCAAATTAAGAAAAAGAAAATTACAAAGAATTTTATATTAATTTCAATTCCTCCACCCATTATTGAAATTATATGAAATTATCCCATAAAAATATTTAAAACTATTAAGTCAAAATAACAAAAATTTTAACATGGTATATATTCATCAGCAGTAAATTTTAAAATAATTAATGAAGATCTTTCATATAGATAGATAATCATAAATGAAAATTTTTTAAAATATGTCATGTTACTTCAGTTATGATGGTTGATATATTTATGAAATTTCATAAAACACAAAAATAATCCAATTGAACAGCTATTATATTATATTATTATTATAACTAATACAGTACAAAGTCCAAAATCTGGACTCGTCGGGACTTCGGCAATTCCGGATTTGGGATTTTTCCAGATTATAGATCACCAATTTAAATCTGGTAAGATGGCATGCAGAAATTATACAATTAAAAATATGAAACCGTAATTTATGAAATAAAGAGCAATTATGATCTAAAGAATTCCGTAACTTTGTACTGCATATTTTTGCAAAGTGATGTTTTCATCACTGATACTGTAAAATCAAAATATCAAATAATTATCTTTGAAAATGTTGGATATATCCTGCAATATCAAATATTTAGCCAAAGTTAATTCTGTATGGAAAAACAAACAAGCATATCTATCTAACTGGTAAGTAAATTTATATTAGTCTTAAATAAATGACAATAAGTTGTGCAATTATATTGAAGAACTAGCTGGAAGTAAATTCCTTTAATTTATAACTAATTAATGTTTTATTCATATGCTTATTTTAAATACTATAAGATTCAAAGCAAATCTTAAACATTAATTTCAATTCTTTTCAAAAATTCATTCTGCTTGTTTAGTATGTTGCTTTTTAATCAATCCCATGAGTGATATAATATTCATGTATTTATGAGTAAAGTCTTAGATTTAACAACTTACATAAAATATTCAGATACATTTCTTCAGTTGCATTGCCTCCAATATTTGAAGCAAAGCAGGAATAATTTGCTTCATGGAAGTCATCTGCTTTTAGAATTTCTAATCTTCCATCATCAATTTTTAACCCATATCCAGTTTGCAAGAGCTGACCATTTCTAAACCAAGTAAGGTGGGGTTTGGGATTCCCATCCAACACTATACATGATACAGATTTCTTTTCTCCTTTTGGTACTTCAAGAATTTCCGGCAGTGGTGATAGTATTGGTTTTCCTGCAACATATATATATATATCACACATATATATATATATATATATCACACACATATATATATATATATATCACAATAATAAATTCTAAATAATATTTGCATCCATCATTCTTAAAAGGGTACAGTATTTAATCACAGGATGACTTATAAAAAGTAATGAAAAATTAAATATCCTGAATATTTCGATATCATAGATTAAACATTCTGAATACTTCTCTGCATTAAATTTCGTAGTAAAAAATCCAATGATTGTTTTAGCATTCAAAAGTCTTCATGGCTGAGTGTATTAAAAAAATTAATTCTGCAATTTCAAATATAATAATACAATTATTACATTTTAATATAATATTCTAAAATAAAACCTTATATGATGAATCATGAAGAAATAAATAAAAATAAAATATCATTAACTAGGTAATTGACTTGAGTGCTTTCTGACAAAAGCGGATTAGTTGCAGGTTTTCTTAGAGAAAAATTTTATTTTACCGCAAGTATTAAAACAAAAATATAAGAAAGCATATCTTTATAGATTAACATAAAATGATGATAATTCAGGCAGTTAATCATAAACAATTATTATATTCTCTTTCAACATTATATTTATATTGAAACAATTTTACAAGTTTTTTGTTATCATTTGTAAAAATTCAGTTATGAAAACATCAGAAAAGACAAGAAATCAGTATCATAGATGAAATTAATATGAGTCAATCAGACACAATATCATTATGAATCATTATCACTGTTCGTTTGGTCTTAATTACACTACACAGTATTAAACAAATTTCCAAATGTGACATGTTTAATAAATTGCAGTTGATTCCTGATTAAATACGGTAATATTGGGGATGTTTTCCATATTAAACTCAAAATCACAGTTAATCTAGTCACAAATTTAGAAAACAAAAACATTCATTTTTAAAATAAAAACCAAAGAACAGTTAACAATTTCAAGCATTTTCTACTGAAGAAAAATTCAAAAATATGACCGATCCACTTTGGAGTCAGAGAGTGAATGGATATTACACTGTTGACTTATTACATCGTTATTTGAAGAAAGTGATTTAAATTTTTTTTATTTTCTATATTTAATATTCATGCTTTCTTTACCTATGTAAAATTGTATAAATTTATTTGTTATATTTCAGGTTAAGGATGATGTTTCAAAGACAATTAAGCTTTCATGTAAGCCCTTTTCTTTGTTTTTTGCAAACTTTTTTTGTATTAGCAGATGTATCAGATTCTTTTATTTGTTATTTATAGCTTGACCAATGTATAGTAAGTATCAGATCATTACGCATTCCATACAGAAGTGTCTTTAAATGTGCAATTTTTTCAAAGTAAAAATTACTTATTTTCAGAACTGAGTAGCAAAATATTAACTGTGAATGGAAACAAATGACAAGATTTAACAATATTGGAATATTTTTGCATTTATTTCCTACATTTCATCCTGTTACTAGCCAAACTAAGAAAATAAAAGGTTTCCTTTTTCCTTGCACATATATTGTATACTTCTTGTTTCTTTCAATATTGATAATTTTATTTAATCAAACTTTTTAACATTTAATTTTACTTGAAACAGGCTGATTTTAAATGGAAAAGAAAGCAAAAAGTAGCTATAAAAAGGAAGACAATATTAACATAGATTAATTGCAAATAAGTTTTTTTTAAAAAAATACATGTAGTCCCTTTGACTAATCTGAATACATGTAGTCAAAATGAAATAAAACATGTAGTTTTTACATAATTGGGACATTTATAAGCAATTTTCTTTACTTTCTCTTCTTATAACAAAACTTAAACAGTGAAACATACATTGAGAAACAAACTGGTGCATTTTTTATGCAAGATCATTTACATATTGATTTCTCAACCAAGACATTATTTTTGACAAATTTTGTCAAATATAATGAAGTACAAATTTCATATTAATGATTGGATATCAATATAGTATTTATAATGGTTATAATAAAAAAATTGAAATTTCTCTATTATAAGATCACGTGTTAAGATAAGGGTAAAAAAAGACTGGAAATTACTGGATTCATGAAATACTTATTTTATGAATAAGGACAGTAAAATTAAATAACTGCTAAGTAATTTTTCCTATAATCATCATTTTTTACTTCTTAATATAAAAGTTAGCTCACTTTACCAATGCACAGATTTGCGCTTTTTAATTTGCTGGAATTCGCTACAAAGATTAAACTCAATCAATCTATATGAAAAATTAAATTAACAATAACAATTTAGTCAATTAATTAAAAAGCATAAGATTTGGAAATTTACAAAAAGAAATAAAAATGAAATAAAAAATAAATTAGTGACTGCAATTTCTAAAACTTATTTTCATATTTTCTTAAACCTGAACAAGCATTTCAATAAATATGATTTCTTTACATAAAATGTAACATTTAAGCTGATATGTACATGTAATCTGTATTCTTAGAAAAAAAAAGAAAGAAAGAAAGAAAGGAAAAGAAAAGTTGATGAAATATAAGTGCAAATCTTGCATTGTGATACAATGAATTAAAAAGAAATTTTATTACTTATGCCTGTAATGGCAAGATCCAAAGATTGCTCCTCAGTTCCAAATCTATTCTGTGCTCTACAAATATATTTCCCAGCAACGGAAAGATCAGCATCTGCAACAAACGTGCAATATTACATTTTTCAATACATAAACTGCAGCAAAAATTACAAAAATTTTATTATATAAAGGAAATGATAATTGTTTAATAACTACTAGTATTTACAAATTCAAACTTACACTGACAGTGAAATTTGCAAGCCCCCCCTCAAAAAAAATTATTGATTCTTTTTTTTTCAAAATAAAATTGCTAGAATTGCTAAAAAGGGGAGAGAAAGAAATGAAAAGTTATTTGCCTACCTTTCTAAAATGTTTAAAGATTTTACTCAGAATATCACATAGTTTAGAAAAATATTAACAAATGCTTACATTTGACAGACCAAATGACTCAGACATTTAGAAATTGACCAAATGACAGAGATTTTGTCTGCTTTCAATACAATTATGTCCAGATAAAAATGCTAAAAAAAAAATCTCATTCATTTCATTTTTTTTTTTTTTTTCTTTTTTTAATTTGGAATATTTCAAATGCCCTGATGATCTGAAGCTGTGCACAAGTACAGATTCTCGTGCCGTCAAGAAGATCAACTCTGTTACGAGATTTAGTTAATCAGCAACTAAGAGTTACCAGAAAGAGCAAACTCATTAAGACTCCAAATATACTGAATTTAATACCTCATTGATTTGTTTTGTTTACTTCCCATTTTTATTTATTTATGGTTTAATGTTTTCCTCTATGTTTGATTTTGAGCCGGATAACCAAAATGAAAGGTGGGAGAATGAGCTGTTCTAATCGTTGGTGGGTCGTTCAACATGTCCATAATTTATTTACTATTGTTGTCTTTGGAATTTTGGCATCCAAAAGCTATTATGTTTGTTTTTGTATTGTTTAGTTAAAAGTAGTCATCTTGAAAGCATGACTGTGATACGATTGTTTATTGCTGAGCAGCTAATTTCCTGTCTTTTACTATAACCGACAGCTGTCATTATTTTGACAAGGATGTAATTTGTCACTCAAGTTTCTTTCCATAAAATTAAATGCAATAAATGTGTCATAAGTATGGACTGTAATCTAAACTAAGACTCAGGACTGACATCAGAATAGCACCAGTGTCGACAGAAAGACCTGTCAGGTAAATGAGACTTATTCATAATTCTGAGTTTTGGAATTTTCTGATGGGATAATAATGTTTCACAAAAAGTAATAAACTAAGAATCTATATTAAACTTCAATATATATATTATAATCAAAAATTTTAAAAGCAACATGCTTATTTATAAGTTGAAAGAGAAGAAAATGTATTTACTTACATATGTGAAGTATATTTTATAATTTTTTCAAGAGCTACAAAACAGTTCTTAAGTTATTGAGATTATCACAGTCATATAGTGCCATTTAGCTTAAACTAAATAAGAAGTTTTTAAATTATATATATCGGCAGCCAGCCTAAAAAATGAGCCAGTCAAAGTGTTTCATAAGAATCACCAACCTTTATTTAAAAAAAAGAGAGAGAGAATCCGAATATTACTAAAAGTCCATATTTGTATCACAGTCATTTTAAAGATTAAATAATTACTAGCATAAACTATTATTAGCACAAATTTCTTTCTTTTTTTCTTTGTTTAATTGAGCACATGAAGGCCATCAGCTTAACAGAAAAGAGTACCTTTGTGGATCGTATTTTAAATAAAAGTGGCCGCATTTATGTTATAAGTGGAAAACCACATAGAAACACCTTTGAAAGTACACAGTTGCTGAGATTTTTAATTTAATGTCTAGCTCCAGTATTCAGCAGTCAAATTTTGCAGAATAAAATTCCACAAAATTTGAGTACTTATTTTGAACTCAAGAATAATAGCAATCCAAATTTTAGAAACGCATCTGAAATCATTACTGCCATTGATAAGCTTTTATCTTCAGGTCTGATTTCTAGAAAGCTATTTACAGGCCACGAATTAATCACTCAAACTTGTTACACTGAAATGATCATGATCCTATACATCTCCTTTCAGCTATTTTGTAACTTGCTATAATTATAAAAATGAGACACACTGCTTTAAAATTAAACTGGTAAAAAAGAGTTATTGCATGTGCCAGAATACAAATATGATTTGATTTTGCAATTTTGAAGAGCTTAATTTATTTGTAAAACAGTACCAAGTAGATTGCATAAGTATAATGTAAATTTTTAGAATATCCTCTGGGGATCCTACAACAATCACAAATAGAAATGAAACATAAATGGATTTGTATGGGTCCTTTATCCTCATAAGGACCCCAGGCAAGTGCCCAGTGAGCCCATGTGTTAAAATGGTACCCATTCAGAGTTTATGACTTCTGTGACAAAGGCAAGTATGCAATGACATTCTTAAAACCCCATGACAAACTTGAGGTAAATATTTATAAAACAATTAATGAAATAAAGAAATCTTTTTTTCTTGGTACATCACCATAGTTTTCTTTTGTAATCCAAAAGAGATCACACACGATATGATAATTCGAGACATTTAACACATTAGCATGAATTTAACAAGGAATATGAATATTTAGATGCTTTACAATACATTTGATTTTCAGCAGAGTTTTTTTAATCAGAGCGAACGAGTGAAGTGTGTCCTACAGTTCCTTTACTTCACTGTAAAAGAAGTTCCTTTACTGCAGCACAACTTGAATAGAATGTCCATTACTCTCCGTTGGTCATTAATGATATTCATCACTGCATGCTAACAATAGCAACCAATAATAGTAACAAATATCTAAAATTTAGATACAACATACTTTTCAAATGATTAGTTTAAATTAAATGGAGTTGTAAGAACTACAAACAAAACATTTCATGTTCAGGGTTTAGGGGAAAATAATACTAGGGAAAAATAATACTGTCTCAAGCATACATTCTAGTTTCTCATGATTGAATAATGTTTCTTCATATATGCTTCTTGAGTATTAGGGAATATAAGTCATTGAACAATAATATTGTCACATTAATGGATACGATGTCTCATATTTAGGAAACTGTCCACTAAATATAACAGACAATTTTTCTCTTTATTACAGTAACAGACTTATTCTCACTATGCTAGTGAGAATGCCCATCCCTATCCCCCTGAGTTATCACAGATTACTCACACATAACAAAGTCATAACAATGATTTAATTATTCATTTATAGTAAAATAAACATGGAGGATGACTCTTTTTAAAAGAAACTGGCTCATATTCACACTATGCATTACACCTGAAGAAAATAATCTTATATCACAAACTGAACTCAAATCCTAAGCTGAAAATGTCAGCAATTTCATTACTCAGCCACTGGTAGGCAACTTGGGTAGCGGATAAACAACAAAGTTGCTAGGATCAAAAGAGGAACAAAATTATAATAATCACATCTTACCTAATCATAAACCCATTTTAAATTCAATGTGTAGGCAAGGCAAAAATGAATAAGAGTGAAATAATTTTGCAACAAAAAGTTATCTTGCAGGAGCAAAACAAATTTCTGTACATACATTTAAAATTTAAACAGTAAAAATTAACAGTAAAAATTTCAGAAAAATGTTTAAGTTGACAGTTATTGCCAGTTATGACTGCATTAATAAAAATAATAAATAAATTCCCTACAACTGCAATCAGTAAATAGGATAAAAAATCATACATTAAATTATTTAATAATAGTAAATAAGATATATGAGAGTTATTTATGAATAATTACCTTGAATAATAAGAGTCCCTTCAGATGAAACAGCAAATTTTGATTCAGTACTGATGTTGCTTCCATTTCCAAAGTGCCAACTTATTTGAGGATCAGGAGTACCAGTAGCAATGCAAGGAATACTAATGTTTTGTAATATTTCAACAGAAACAGAGCTTGGTAATTTTATCAAAAATGGTTTTGCTGGATGAAAGAAAAAAACAATTAAAATACTTACACAATAACAGGGTATAACCATAAAATGGCACTTTTCTGTTAAAGCCATATCCCATATTTTTGGTGACATATTGGAGCATATTGATTTATTTTATTGGCTTGATACTAAACATTAAATTGTCTTTGGCTTAATACTAGAAGAAACAAAATGATTGAAAAAGCAACAAGAAAGCATTTTCTAATTTCACAACAAAATCCTTCAAAAGCCCACTATAAGGGAAGAACATGGGCAATATTATTTTTTGTCTTTTTATGAATAAGAATTCATCAATTTCTATTATTTTGTTGTATCACCAAATTTAACATCAGGATGACGTAACAAGAAATTGGCATGTAAAGCTCATGCAATTATTCCAATCAACTGTTGTGCTGTGATTCACTTTAAGCAAGCTTTGGTTCACATATACTCAATAAATGTTAACTCCTAATTCACAAGTAAATGAATCATATAGCAATAATGAAAGGAACATGTGATCCAATGATCAATTTTTGTCTTTGGAAAAAAAATTATTCTTCTTACCATGAACAAATACATCACGGCCATTTCATATCAGCTTCAAGCTGCATTTTAATTTCATTTTAAGCACAATCTTTCTTTGAAAAGAAGATGAAATAGAACAGTTGCTCGTTCATCTTTTGACAACCCCTTAGTCATGAAATTCAACTTATATATTACAGTTTTGTCATAAACTGTAAATGTCATAGCAGCATTCCCATTTGCTAAAATTTTAGGTAATTCACTCTAAACCACAATTAATAAGAGCATGGTAACTTCATGTGTACTTGATTTCATCCGAATTTTCCACAAATTCGAAGGTCTGGGGAATGTGGTGGTTTTTCCTGAGGACAAGGACACCAAATGAGACTACTTCATAAAAGCAAGAAATTATATATATATATATATATATATACAATGATTTAATGAGCCCAGCATGTAATTTCATAGTATTTAATGCTTTTAATTAGATATATCATGATTTAAATGTTTTTTTAATCAAAAGAGATTAGATGTAAAAACATTATTATTAAGAACTTTTATATATAGCAACACACTGGCATATCAAAGATAAAAATTCTTTATTTCAGGCAGTGACAACACATCGCTTTTCGGTTGAGTTTGTTAAATCTGAACTTGTTAAACTCACAAAAAATATTAAATAAATAAATACATAAATTCAAAATCCAGACTTTGAGGTGCTTCAGTCAGAGGACTATGTAAGTTCAAAGTTAGGCTCTATGAGCCATCCTTCTTCTATAATGCGAGGAACATCTATACAAATTTTTTATTATTTAATTGTGTGTATGTGTTGTATAATATATACACGTACATATATTATATAGAGAGAGACAGAATTTTGTGTGAAATCAAAAGTACTTTACAACCAAAAACCTTACATCACATTTGCTGACATAGCAAAACCAAGCTAAGAAGTTCTGCTTATACCACATGTAATCTTTATGCCACAAAGTGAATTCTTCCTAACAGCTATAAACCAATGAAAACAATTTAAGTTGTTAACATACTTACATCCAACATTTAGATACATTGTTTCATTCGCAGTTCCAGCTTCATTAACAGCAACGCAGGTATATTTTCCAGCATCTGTTTCCTGAACGTCATATATTAAAAGAGAACCATCAGGTAAAACTTGTATGTATGAAAGGGGTTGTATTTCAACCGAACCTTTATACCATTTCACTTTTGGATCAGGTATACCTTCAGCAATGCATCTCAGAACTGCTTGCTCTCCATTCTTCACAGTCAGCTCCTCAGCAGGCAAGCTAACAAATGGAGCCTCTACATATAAAAACAACTATATTAATTTTTAATAGCATATAGTTTAAATGAATATTATTTTATGAATGTTAATTTTAAATAGCATATAGTTTTCAAATTAATTCATGCAACGCTGAAAAAAATTTTCTTGCCACTCCTAATCAAAGGTACTCAATAAAAATGTTAATTACTTGATTCCTATTAACTTCATATGAGTAAAAAAATCTATATTTCATAAAAATATGTTAATATAATCATTAAAATTAATAATAAAGAATTAATTTCCAGTATATATCATAAATCTTTTTTTTAATATGTGCAAACATATTTTTATCTCATTACATATTACTGGATTTAACTAACCTATTCTTTTAAAAGAAAGAGAAGACACAGTTGAAATTATAGCTACTGATTAAATGCACACGGTATATCATAGTATCTTCATAATAAGATTGCATAACATTAAAGTCACATATACTAATGCTCCTAATATATAACCTTTTTCCTTTGCAGCAAATTACAAAAATAGAAATAGTCCCCAACAATAATAAATTTACTGAAAAACAAAAATTTTAAAGCATAACATTTTAAGTCATTTTCTGAGATACTAGATTGTAAGGTGCTTGTTAATTTTATAACAGTTATTTAAATTTTGAAACCTTCTCTTTTCAGTTCTTGGTTCCCACTTACAACTCCCTACCAGAATGAGTTTCTAGAATCATGTTGGATGCAAATGAGTTAGGAGAAGTGTTTAACCCTTTGACACGCGCTATATTATTTATAATTTTTTAAACTCAAAACTCTAGAAATTGAATATTACGATCCTAGAGACAAGTAATACATGAATTTTCAAAAAATCTACTCTTGCCCATTGTTCTGTGGGTGGTGGTCACACTGTGAAACCAGCATGCGTCTAGGACTGAAACTTGCTGAGGTAGTAGGGAAAAAAGATTACCTTTTTCTATGCGCATTTGCAATAAATGACGAAATTTACGAATTTAAAAAAAATATATGTGAGAATTGGATTATATGTAATTTTTCTGTTAGCAGTGAAAATAGTTCAAAAGCACCTACATAATAAGGACGTTGGGATAAATGGATAAAAATCTCAGTAAAGTAAGGATTAAAAAAAAAAAAAAAACTCAGTGGCTTAGAACACATTTTTTGTGACACTGTTTAAAGCACTAAAAAGCAAGCAAACGCCTCTGAGAAGAGCAGTAGTCTTTTTGGTACATGCATAGACCCAAATTGCACATTTCGCATATGTATCTTGTTCCATGAGGTTTTTTCCTTGTGCTACAAAATGTACATTGCTTGGATCTTCTAAATTTCACTGGTATATATTCAGCATTATTAAGTTTCTTTTCATCTTGCACATGAAATTTGTGGTTTTTTATGTTAGTGGGGAGCTTGATCTATTTGGCTTTAGTACAGATCATTCGTTTCCCATTCATATTTATTTTATTCGCATTTTGTCCCTAAATATTTAGAAAATATTTTTTATTTAAATAAATCTTTTACGCGATTTCTATTTTTAATTATAGCAAAGTATATTTACATTCAATTTAAACCACACCAAATAATTTATAAAATCACAATACTAGCTTGGGAAGCAAGTGTGTTGAGGTCAGAGAAAAAATCTCTGGAAAAGAAATACCTTTTCACTGGTCAGGTGCATGTATTGTTTAGTAAATAAAATAACTCTGTGCTTTCAAAGCCCCTTATCTATATCCGAGTAAAAATAAACTATTGACTATTTGAAAAGCAAGAAAATGCCACTGTGAAGAGCAGTGGTTTCAAGGTACGACCACCGAGCCTCTAGAGGATTATGAGCATTGCTACACAATGTTCTAGTGGGGCAGCGGTCGCGCCCTGAAACCACAAAGCAAATGCCATAAATATAGATAGGTTTTTATCTTATATATGCAGTTCAATTATTGCAATTTTTTATTGTTCACGATAGAAATCATGATGGGCGATGAATAACTTTTGAAATTTAAAGTTGTTTAATAAAAGGAAATTATTTTGTCTTATTGAAAACGGATTTTAAAAAGGCATCTGATTTGAAGTACTAGGACTTAAAACATGATTCTGCAGTCACTTTGTGTTATTTAGAGGTAAAAGATCAGTAATCAATTTATTTTCACTCAAAAATTTCAGAAAGAGGAGGAGAAAAAAATTCAAAAATTTTTTTCAGGGTGCGACCACTGCGTGTCAAAGGGTTAAAGGGAGTTCTACTTACTTCAATAGAGAGCGCGCTTAGGAGTCCTTAGTGGCACATGTTTGTCTTCTAGCTATTTCATTCTTGAATTTTATTTTTTGCTATTTCATTCTTAAGGGCCAACTAGGCTAGATATTTGTGTCTAGCATCAGTTAAGTCTATTTTAGCTAGTATTAGTTTAGTTTCTTATTTTCTAATCCCGATTTAAAAACTCAAGTGGAGGCTTTCCTGTAACCCCGAGAAGGGGCTATCTGTTATCATTTCTGTGAGTGAATAAAAGGGTATTTTACCCTTCTCGAGTCTATGTTGTTAGTGCCTGAACTCAGCAATAATTCACTACACAGTTCACTAGGTTCTTCAATTCTTCAACATTTTATTATAGACCAAGTAGTGAGGAACATTATATGATGATAAACACACATTTTTACTTGTTTTACAATTTTTTTTTTTTTTTTTTTTTAATTTTGTAACTAGAAAAAGATTTGTGCTTTAAATACACACTTACAGTACTTGAACACTGAAGTACAGCATTAAGCAAAAATTTGCCAAATGTTAAAAAAGCATTTCTATTTGAATTGTTTTATTACTTTAAAGCAGGAGATTGTTTGACTATTCTTTTGACTATTATATATTGTTTCTATTTCTTTAATATGAAAACAACTATGTTTTCAAATAAGCATATTAGTTAATACATAATAACAATTAATAAAATATTCACTCCGGAAACTCACCAATATAATTTAAAACAGCAGTAGCAACTTGTGTTCCAGCAATATTTGTTGCAACACAATCATATCTGCCTTCATCATCTGCTTCTGCAGAATATATTAATAAGTTTTTCTCACGAATTTCACTCCTTCCAGAAATGAAATTCTGGTTATGCGCTGGGCTCCATATCCATCTGATAACTGGCTTCGGATAACCATCTGCTTGACAGCTTATGTTCACAAAATCACCTGACACAAAATTTTTTGCAAGTGGTTTCACATTCACAACAGGAGGCTCTAAAGCAAAAAAAAAAAAAAAAATAAAAATAACTTCAACAGCAAGAAAATACAGTTCTAAGGAATAGTTTTTCTTTCTCATTTTTACATCTTATTAGAAAAAATTATTTTACAGACATACAGAAAACAAACTGATCAGTAGGAGAAGAATTCCAAATTAAAGGTAACAGTTAATAAAGTATTGAAGTAGAAGAGAAAAGAATTCAGGTCACCAACTTATCTGTCGCGTGAAAATGAAGTCATTTTCGATAGCCTCCACAGAATCTCCAAATCTTTCTTGCAGTGCAATCCCTGAATGTCAGAGTTTTTTTGTTCTTTTTTACTTCTTTATTCAAGTTCAATTTTCCATGAATTTGTGATGCTTGTGTGTGTGTGCAATGAATAAATGTTTGTTTTTCATTGATTTTTTTATACTACT